TATATTATAATATAATATAATCGTTATTTTTAAATTATTATTTTAATAATATTATTATATTCTATATCATAATTATATAATAATAGTTTTTTTGTATTATATTAAATATAATAATAAATATATATTATATTGTAATTATATATTATATTATATTATATTATAATATAATATAGTCGTAATTTTTAATTATCTACAACAATTCAACCTCATAATTTACCAAACGTTATTACACTGATTTTGAAACCAGCATAGCTACTATAATTATAATTTACCAAACACCTTGCTGCTTTTTGTAATACTGCTTATTTTTTCAACACAACTAAGCAATTTTTTCAAAATCTACAGCAATACCAAACTAAGCCTTAAGGCCCGTTTAGTTTGCTGATTTGAATTGATATGTGACTTTATGTGAGAGTATTTTACTATAGCAAAAAATTTAAATACGATTGTTTCTGAGAGCTTTTTACTGTAGCAAAACTCGAATTCTAAAATCGAATTGGTGTAATGAACGGGGTCTTAGAACACAAAGATCTAACTTATAACCAAATCTCTAATGTCAATTTTGACTCAAATTGATCAAGCTTCTTCATCTTCTCTCTGCCGTGATAGATAAAGTATAGAACAGAAATCTGCGTTCAACTTCTAATGTATTAACATATTAATAAAAGATTTAATTGCTCTAAAAAGGATTAATGCAGCAGCCCCTACAAGAAGGGCTTAAAAGCGGTGTAACTTGATGAGACCTTGTTAACAACTAAGCTCGAAGCCCCTTCAGATGTGTGTGTGTGTGTGTGTGTGTGCAAGTCCAAAAAATTAGAGAGGAAAAAACATGTCAACATAAGGGGAAAAGGAAGTTTCAATCAAACTAACCGATAACCCTTTCTGTATCAACTCTCGCTTCTTGTTGTTCATCTTCGCCGCTCTTCACGAGAGAGATAATTTCATTTTACTAAATTCAAAACCAAGCAAAGAGAAAGTGAAGGAGGAGGATCCCTCTAACCTGGATTTTAAGCCTTTGAGCAAATCTTCAGCTTTAGAAACCTCACCAGCATTAGCCAATGCCCATAATATCAAAACATCGAAGTGCCACTCCATAAACCAGTTGCGCTGAACATTGTGGTTCATTTACAATTAGTATGGGAAAACAATAATGGGATGTTAAGAGATTGTACGAAAAGTATCTATAACATCACATAAGCTAACGAGGACAATGAGAATCACATCTGCAACTCACTTGATCTGTTATGCAACTTATTAAGATCTTCAGACGGTCCTTAAAGACTTCAATTTCGCCGCGAACATGCACCCGCAATAACAAACCCAGACAATTCAAGTAAACCTAATTGCATAAGAAATTGAGAATAAGATACAAAAAACTACTATGCTCCTGCTAAAAAAGATTAAACACAAAAAAGTTGGTTATGCTGAAAATACAACTTATTCTGTTTAAGAAATTTGATATAGTATACCTCTGGATGAGCAGCATTGGGTTTTTCCAACTCTTTCCAAATATGTTGATCATAGACCTCTAGGATTCTTTGAATTGGCCAATGGCCTTCCAAGAAACAAAGTGCTACATGCCACCAGTTGTGCGTGATCCTGATATGTAAAAGTTTCAGGCTCCTGTATATGCTAAAAGCCTAAAGATACTTAAACTCACAAAGAAGTCCACTTTAATTGACTTAGCATGCGTACATAAATGATGATATACGATCCCAAGAAGGCGAACAACCTTCCATGAAGTCTACCGCTTCTTTAAACCGGCACTCATTTTGAAGAACATGGCACATCTGTACAAGAATTCATAGACCAGAAACAAGTAAAGCTTCTTTACAATACAAGCTTCTTGATGCAACATCTAACTGCAATGAAGAAAAATACAATAACGAAGCAGATATCTATTATATTTGACATTGGCTCTGTATATTTTGGGAGATTAACATGTAGAACAGCAGTAGACAACGACGGCTCACATTATGCTGTGCCCAGCAGTCATGCTTGTTGATCTCTAATGCCTTTTTCACAGCTTTCTCAGCATCTCCCATTCGACCTAGCTCCAGCAACGGAAAAGCAAGCATACCATATATGTAACTCTTTTCTTGATTTTGGGGTAGAACCTGTCAGGCGTGAAATCATTGAAAGACCAATCAAGGTGATTTATAACAAGCTTAATATCATGCAAGAAGGTGCTAATACAAATATTTAAAAAAAAATAATCCTGAGCCCTGACTTAATAAGAAATGAACCTCCTGAATAAGAGCTAAGGATAAATCAGGTCGTCCCATGTAAAAGCAGAGCACTTGGGCTCTTTTAACAGAGGCCAAATCTCTCGGGAAATCTTTCAAGAGCTGCAAAATGAATCAACATGAGAGCAAATGAATGAACCTACAGCAACCCAGATAGAGATTGAAGCTCAAACAAATAAAAGTAAACATATTCCATTTTTTACGTTTCAGGGGATATACATTTTCCAAATCGTGCCAAATCATCAGCATAAGATGATCAACTAATGAGTAAGATTACAGCAACCCAGATAGAGATTGTAGCTCACATTAATAAAGGTACACATTTTCCTTTTTTTTTTTTTTCCCAAAGGATATACATTTCCAAATAATTGTACCAAATCATCAGTATAAGGAATGAGCCCTTACATTCAGCTCTCCTTATCTATGAACAAGGCAAAATGGGAATTCAGGAAAACAAGAAAAAAAAAAAGGACAACTACTATAACCTACTATACATAATTCTTCTACAACCTAATAATTTATCACGTGTGATGTTTGTTGTTGATGGTGATAAGTTCTTCAGAGTATTTGGACAGTTGTTGGGCAATAGAAGGTTATTAACTTATTAGGAATGAGATTAATGAATCATGTTATAGGTAAGAAGATATCTCTAAATCACTTAGATGGGATCGGTTAGTTCACCATAGAAGTCATTGGGCAGTCATAGACAACTAATTGTTGATATGATTTGCAACAACAACAACAACAACAACAAAAACTTTTATATATACAAAAGCATAACTGATCAATAGAATAGGGACAAGGAAAACATAAAACCAAGATATAAACTAAATAATATGCACACAAATTCAAATACTTTAAAGGGGGAAAAAAAAGGCAACAATTAGAATATAAATCCAAATGATGTGTTTGCTCACCTTGAAATGTAACTCAAGAGCAACATCATCGTCTCTATTCTCACACATCAAACTATTGACAGCGTCGAAAACCGCTTTCTCGTACGAGGTGGCTTGTTCCTGCGCACAAACGAAATTGCCCACTAAAGAATTTGGTTTTTTTTTTTTTTTGAAGTTTTTAATTCAAGAAGAAAATATCTAAAAAGGAATGAACTCACGAGTCTGGATATAGCAGCGTGGAGATAGGAAGGAGCTCGGGAAGGGTCTGAGGAGGCAAGGAAATGGGCAGCCAAAATGTTCGCCAACACACAGTCTTTGTCGCTTTCTGTTGCTTTCAATATCACAGACCTCTCTCTCCCATAAATCAGCACCTTCTCATTTTCTCACACAAAATCCCAATAACCATTTCAGATTCAGTATAAAAAATAAAAAAAATAAAAAAATTGTACAAACCTGGTGATAATAAGCGTTAATGGCAGAGACGCAAGCGTCTGAAGATGTCCTCACTTCGTACCCCCATTGGTCTCTTCTCGCTCCTCCTTCCATCTCTCTCTCTCTCTCTCTCTCTCTCTCTCTCTCTCTCTCAATTGAGCTCTCTCTCTCTCTCTCTCTCTCTCTCTCTGTGTCTCAATTGAAAAGTGTTGTTAAACGGTGTGAGAAACAAGGATAAACTGAGTTGGGAATTCGATTTGTTTATGTTTTTACGTTGTCATTTGCAAGTGCGTGATCGTTTACTTGATGATGTTGAAAGGTTTTTCAAATGGACTATAGGCGTTAGGCCACCGCCATCCGACGTCGCATAATGTTTGGTCCACGCCGAATGTCTGAAATCTCCTACTTGGGCCGTTGTTAGCTTTGGATCGGATTCTATTCTATGTTGGGCCTTTCTTGAATGAGACCTGTAGTAAGGCTGTAAGGGGACAAAAATACCTTATAGGTGCATGTGTCACGATTCTACCCTTACTTTTAATTAATAACTTTTATAATCAAAAATCAATATTAGCAAAAGAATATTTAAAACATCTCTAATGTAATACTATAATTAATGTGTCAATTATAAATTTAATAGTTGAGTACAGGAAATACTCCTTAATACAATACTATTTATTGTGGTAAATTTTTTATATGCTATATTTTATGATAAATTTTGCATGAAGTATAACATATGAAAACTTTAACATTTAATTACTATTGATTGAAATATTTACTTTTTCTTTGTAATTTATTCAACTTTTTTATTTTCTAATTATTTTAGAAATAAAAGTTTACTTTTACAACTTTTAAAATTTAATAATTATAGAAAAAATATATTTAGCATTTTCAAATAGCACTATGAATTAGAACAAAAATAAAAATAACATACTATATCATATTTTTTATACTAAATATATAACTGATATTAGCATTTTATATTAGAGATGATGTAATCACGAATAAAGAGTAAAAATAATAACTCGAAGTAAATTTTGCAGTTTTCTCGTGAGAAGAGGGGAGTGTGTATCATGAAAATTCCCATTATGCGATGGACGGCTAATTGAATGGGTTTTTTTTTTTATTTTTTTTATTTTTACGTGAGTATTTATATGTAAATAATAATAACAATAATAATAATAATAATAATAATAATAATAATAATAATAATAATAATAATAATGATAATAATAATGATAATAATAATGATAATAATAATAATAATAATAATAATAATAATAATGTATAAGAAAAATTCAATTAATGAAAATGGAAGTTAAGAAGTAACATGAAAGCTGATTTGCAAGTCGGTCTTGATTGATACTTTTCACAAAAATTTTGATTGATACTTTTCACAAATATTAAGTGCATGCTATTTTGAAAGGATTATTATCATTAAAATTACACTAACACAATAAATTTATGAGAGTCGAGATGAAATATAGAATTCTTAAAAATATTTTAGAAATAGTAAAAATGACATAGTAATTATTTCCAATAATGTTTCATGTTGATACTACAGAACTCAGTAATCATTGGAATATGACTCAAATCCAGGGCAATGATAGTTGGGCCTAATGATAAGCGATCTTTGGGCCGTTACAATGAAGATGAAAGAGGATGACGTTACGTAATCAAAATGGTCTCCTTGGAAGTAAAGGTGGGAACTGATTCTAGCTTGAATTCTTGGATGATATATGCTTTACTTTCCTTGGCACCATCAAAACTATCCAATGGATATTTTCCTCTTCCTTTTTTCCTATATCAAACATGAATCCCAACAAACATGTACAGTAGTCGCCAAAGATCTATCCTCCAAAGGCCTCTTTCAAACGTCACCGTTTCACTCCATCAAATTCGATTGGTAACACACCCTCTATTACGGAGGAAAAAGTGTTTGGCTAGTGAAAAAAATATTATTCTCATTAAT